TCCAGACCGACGAGAATTGAAAAAGAAAGTTTGTTTTTTGAGAACTGGCAACGATAAGTGTATGCTTTTAGAACAGTGACGCAGTAGACTAATGACGCTGTTAGATATGTAGAACAATGATGCTAAGTAGTTAGAAGTGTTTTTTGATAGTGTAATGATTTAGATATTGTTCCTCTTTTGTGTCAAATGTCAAATAAAGTGATTCATACAAAAGACTGCCAATTTTAGATGAGTTTGGAACCAAATCGGAGTCTACAAAAGCGGCGGACCAGAATCGAAGAAGAAAGCGGATCATAAAGGTAAGCAACCTTTCTTTATTTGCTTATCTAGAATTTTGAATGATCTGTTTTTTACTGAATTGAAACGATATAAATTTTTTGGCGCCCGAACAGGGACCGCCGATGTAGACTATATTGAAGTGAAAGATTTAGGAATGTTTAAAAAATATCTCCTTTTGATTTGAGAAGTTTATTTATGATTTGAGAGTACTGATTTTTAATTTGAAATATTTTCTATCTGAAATATTTAAACATGTCTACTAAAATAGAAGAATTAAAGAAAAGACGAACTGTAGTTAGGAGTATGACAACAAAGTTGATAAATAATTGTAAAGAATACCTCCAAGAAACAGAACACGATTTGTGTATTCTTAATGAAAATATTGATTTATTAGATTCAAAATATAACAGCCTAAAAGAATTAGATAAACAAATACAAGAATTAATTGAGGCTACTGAATATGAATCGGAATTTGAAACTTGTGAAGTTTATTCCGAGAAAATAATTTCCATGAAATCAAAACTAACATTTATGTTAAAAGAGAATAGGAAACCTGAAATTCCTGTTTCGAATACAATTGGTAATATTGTGAATAATGATATTTCAAATATTTCTGTATCTCATTCAAAAATTAAATTGCCTAAATTATCGATCAATAAATTTAATGGCGATCCTGTTAATTGGTTATCATTTTGGAACCAGTTTGACAATGCGATACATCAGAATAGTGATTTAACAGATACAGACAAATTTAATTATTTGATATCATTTTTATCAGGTGCTGCTTGTAATGCTGTTAGTGGTTTTGCATTATCAAGTGAAAATTATTTTGCCGCAATCGAGTTACTTAAAACACGCTTTGGTCGAACAGATTTAATTATAAATGCACATATGGGAAAACTGTTAAATTTAGAACCTGTTAGGAATGCTAACAACATATTTGCATTACGTAAGTTGTATGATGATATCGAAATACAGATAAGAAGTTTAAAATCACTTAATGTAACTTCTGGCACATATGGCACGTTATTGACACCAGTTTTATTAAAATTAATTCCGAATGAACTGAATCTTGATTTCCAAAGAAAAAGGAAATCGAAAGATAATTTCGATGTAAACGAATTATTAGAGTTCTTGAAAACGGAAATTGAGTGCCGCGAATCCATGCTACAAATTCAAGATAAAATAAACAACCATAATTCGAGCCACTTTCCTAAAGAAAAAAGAATAAATAAAATTTCTATTCCAACGGCTGCTGTGTTAAAGGTTTCAATTAACAGCTGCATATTTTGCGAGGATTCAGAAAAAGAAAAACATACTTCCGAAGCTTGCCCGAAGTCTGTAACAGACAGAAAGGCGTCACTTCGGAAACTCGGAATGTGTTATTTATGCCTTAAAAGGGGTAACCATTTGGCAAAAAATTGCTTTTCGAAGATAAAGTGTGATTCATGTGGGTGGAAACACAACAGTTTAATCTGTGACAGAAATAGTTTAGATGAGAAAAAATCAAATAAGAAGGATCTCAATTTGACGAACAAATCATGTTTAGAGAAAGTTTTATTACAAACTTTAGTTGTAAGAGTGCGTGGCAATGGTCCAGAAAAATACTGCCGCTGTTTAATTGATTCTGGGAGTCAACGAAGCTATGTATCTAAATTCTTAGCTAATGCTATGCAGTACGAATGTATTAACGAAAGCAGTGTGATTCATAGTCTGTTCGGAGGAACTGAAGTGGTTGAAACTCATAAACAGTTCGTTGTACGTTTAAGTAGTATCAAAAACGATTATCAGTGTAACTTCAAAGCTTTTGATCAAGCGAATATTTGTTCTGATATTCCACAATTGAACATCAAGCCTTATTTAAATGAGTTAAAAACCCATAACATATTTTTGAATGATGTTGAAGGTAGGCATAAAAAATTGTTGTTCGAGCATTCTCCTTCTGAAATTCATATCCTCATAGGCGCAGACATAGCGGGAAAATTGCTTACAGGGAAAATAAAGAAGTTAGAATGTGGATTAGTTTGCATTGAAACTTATTTAGGCTGGAGTATCATGGGGAAAATTCCCGTAGAAATGGAAAATAAATATGATTGTTCTTATGCATTTTCTATGTTAGTATCAGATAGTAAAATTTCTGATTTATGGAAACTTGATACTCTTGGGATATTAGACCCTTCAGAAAGTCAAACTAAAAGGGAATTAGAAAAACAAACAATGACACATTTTCTTTCCAATGTGAAAAGAGATGAAGAAGGAAGGTTTCAAGTTTGTTTACCTTGGATTGAAAATCGTTCCCTACTTCCAAACTATCGAGAAATAGCAGAAAAGAGATTAAAGAGCACAGTGAAGAATTTAAGGGATGGGGGATTTTTAGAAGATTATAACGCAATTTTTAAATCTTGGGAAGATGATAAAATAATAGAGATTGTTCCTGAGGAAGAAGTTAATAACCCCTCTCATTATTTACCCCATCGTGCTGTTATTCGAATGAATTCCACCACGACAAAAATAAGACCGGTTTTCGATGGATCCGTAAGAACTAAAGGATCACCCTCCGTAAATGACTGTTTGGAAAAGGGTCCAAATTTGATTGATACTGTTCCAGCTATAATAAATAGATTTCGACTGGGAAAAATTGGCGTGAGCGCTGATATTAAGAAGGCTTTTCTGCAGATAGCACTTAATCCTAAAGACAGAGATTATTTAAGATTTTTATGGTGGGAACAGGGAAATTCTGAGCGTTTGAAAATATACAGGCATAGAAGAGTGGTCTTTGGAATAACCAGCAGTCCATTTCTCTTAAATGCAACACTAACGAAATTAATGAATGAAGTACCAGAAAATTATCGTGCGAGTGCTAATAAATTAGTAGAATCCTGGTACGTTGATAATTTAGTTACAAGTGTGAATGATGAATCAGAATTAAAGAAGTTAAAAAATGATGCCACTGAAATTTTGGCAAGTGCTAAATTTGAATTACAAGAGTGGGCATATAACTATCCTCGAAATAAAAGGGATGCATTTGTTGTTGAACCCATTTTAGAACAGTCGAAGCTTGATAAATTAAATGAGAATGAGTTTTTCGATGATCCTTGTGAAGCTAAAACGGTCAACATTTTGGGACTTCTTTGGAATTTGCATGATGACACATTAAGTTGTGATATTAAGGGATTAAATGAATCAAAAAACAAACCTGTTACTAAAAGAACAATTTTGTCTGAAATTCATAAAATTTATGACCCTATTGGATTCACCTGCCCTATAATTTTAATTCCTAAAATTCTGTTACAAAACTGCTGGGAATTAAAAGTAACTTGGGATGAAGCTCTTCCTGAAGAAATTCAAAGGAAATACATGAAATGGAAAAATGATGCAAATCGTTTAACAGAAATAAAAATTCCTCGACAGATGATGCTTAATATTGATTCTGAATTGAAATTATCCTTTCATATATTTTGTGATGCATCCCGAATGGCATATGCAACCTGCGTTTATTTAAGAAATGAAAATGAAAATAAAGTTTCGTGTCATTTAGTTCAAGCACGATCTAGAGTTGCTCCTCTAAAACCCACATCAATTTGTAGACTAGAATTATTAGCTTGTGTTGTTGGTGCAAGATTAATGAAATCTATAAAACAAGATTTGAAGGAAGAAAATATACCTACGTTTTATTGGACAGATTCAAGGAACACATTGTACTGGATTAAGAATGAAGAAAATTGGGGTGTATTTGTTATGAATAGAGTGAAAGAAATACGAGCTCTTACTAATCCTGATGCATGGAATTATGTTCCTGGCAACTTGAATCCTGCGGATATTCCGTCAAGAGGATGTTCTGTTGAAACTATTAAAGCCAAAAGATGGCATGAAGGTCCAGCATGGTTGAAGTTGAATCCAGACTGTTGGCCTACTTGTGATATTTCTCCTGACAAAGATATGATTGATCGAGAAAGAAGAAAAACAGTTGTATCCTCGTTAACAAATGTAGATGAAGAATTTTCGCATTTCTCACGAATTTCTTCTTTTGAGAAAATAATTAGAGTTACAGCCTTGGATAAAAAGGTATATTGATAACTGCAGAGATAAAAACAGAACAACGTCAAAGAACTTAGAAATCGAAGAATTGAATGCAGCTGAAGTTCTTGTTTGGAAAATTGTGCAAAGGGTCTCCTTTAAAACAGAAAAGGATAAACGCTTACGAAATTTAAAACCATTTGTTGATTCATCTGGTCTTTTAAGAGTAAAGTCAAGAATATTAATGAGACAAGACTTCGAAAATTTTAGAACACCTGTAATCCTACCTCCTGAACATCCAGTTGTCTCTAAACTGATTATGGAAAAACATGAACAACAAATGCATTGCGGAACTCAGACTTTAATGGCAATGCTACGAGAAAATTTCTGGATTTTGAAAAGTCGTAAAACTATTCGTAAAGTGTTGAAAAACTGCACTAAATGTAGAAGATTTGATTCGAGGCCCTCCACGGTACAATCCGCACCTTTGCCAAAGGACCGTGTTAAAGATTCTTCTATTTTTGAAGTGACAGGTATCGACTTAGCTGGCCCTTTGTTTTTAAAAAATGGATCGAAAACGTGGATCGTTTTATTTACATGTGCTGTATACAGGGCAATTCATCTTGAACTTTTAACGTCTTTGTCAACAGATAACTTTTTATTGGCTTTCCGACGTTTTATAGCACGCAGAGGAAGACCTGAAATTGTCTACACTGATAACGGTAGTAATTTTATTGGTACAAATTCGCTCTTAAAAATGATTGACTGGGATAAACTTATTAAAAATCATGTTGTCAACCGCATTAAGTGGAAATTTATCCCACCAGCTTCTCCCTGGTGGGGTGGATTTTGGGAAAGAATGATTGGCCTGATGATGAAAAACATTCTCAGAAAAGTTTTAGGTAATGCCTCACTGAAATATGAAGAACTCTATACGATCCTCTGTGATTGCGAAAATATCTTAAATTGCAGACCATTAACTTATATTTCCGAGGACTTGGAACTGGAACCCTTGACACCTGCAATGTTTTTTCGTGATCTAAAAGAAAGTGGCGTTCCAGATCTAGATATTATTGATGCCAAATACTTACAAAAAAGGTATGCATATCAGATGAAGGTTAGAGAAGATCTAAGAAAACGGTTCAGAACTGAATACTTAGGACAACTGAAAAACCATATTTTAAAAACAGAGAAATATGTTAAACTATCGGTTGGAGACATTGTGTTAATAGAAACACCTGAGAAAAGAATTAAGTGGCCTCTAGGAAAAATTATAACACTCATCCCAGGAAATGATGGTGTAGTTCGTTTAGTAAAATTACGCACCAAAAGTGGCGAAATCCTTCGACCCATACAACGAATTTATCCGTTGGAAGTCCATTTACAAACGGATAATATAGGAGACTGTTTGAGAAAGAAGCATTCTGATCAAAAAATGTGTGATAAGCCTACAACTTCTATTGGATCTACAGAGTTTCGTGCCACTGACAAAGATCAGTCAGATGAACTCAATCAGAATCCCCTCAAAACAACTAGATGTGGACGAGTGATTCGAACTCCTGAACGATTAAACCTCATGAACTTTCAACCAGACTGTGGCTGAGTTTCAACTTGGTGAAACTCATCGGGGGGAGTGTGTCGCGAACGACGCACGCTCCGCTTTTGGGGAACGGGTTGAGCCTCCAGACCGACGAGAATTGAAAAAGAAAGTTTGTTTTTTGAGAACTGGCAACGATAAGTGTATGCTTTTAGAACAGTGACGCAGTAGACTAATGACGCTGTTAGATATGTAGAACAATGATGCTAAGTAGTTAGAAGTGTTTTTTTGATAGTGTAATGATTTAGATATTGTTCCTCTTTTGTGTCAAATGTCAAATAAAGTGATTCATACAAAATAGTGCCAATTTTAGATGAGTTTGGAACCAAATCGGAGTCTACAAAAGCGGCGGACCAGAATCGAAGAACGCGGATCATAAAGGTAAGCAACCTTTCTTCATTTGCTTATCTAGAATTTTGAATGATCTGTTTTTTACTGAATTGAAACGACATGTATTACAACCCGGGATTTGCGCAGCGATTTCTATTACACCACACTCGGAAAAAATTCTTTTTTAAAGAACTTCGCTAGTCTCCAGTATAAACATATTGGCGTATTAATCCAAACAAATATGTCATGGATTTAAGAAATATATTTAAGCATTGTGTAACTCAGGGATTTCAACTTGTTTTAATTTTAAATTAAGCTATTGCTTCATATGCTGTTAAGCTAGCATTGGAAAATATGTGTACTTATATGTTCACTAGCACTGGAAAATATGTTCACATTTGTTTAAAATCTTAACAGCAGAATCCCGTAATGACTAAATTTTACAGCTGGTTGATTTCCATACACCATTCCTTCCATTGCTACGGCAAATCATTAGGCAAAATTTCATTCTAATCAATTCCTCTTTCAAAAAGAGACTGTAATGTAAAAAAAAAAAAAAATGTGACTCTGATTGTAAAAGATACAGTCTAAAACCGATGGGATCAAAAGCGTTTCCTCCAGTCACTTAATACAGTGGGTTTCGTACCTTGTGTTTCCCCGTAGTGTTTGATCTTCCTTAAAATGCTGGATAAATATATTTTCAGGAATTTTTTATTATTCAATATAAGTAGCAGCTTCAGTGGTATATCACTGAAATTACAGACTGGCTGGCAGTTAACGGATACAGATACAAGTGGGGGGGACACCAGAATTCCTCCATTGGTCATACATGTATAGTCCCAGCATACAAACTATGCAGCTCCGCTCCAGTTTTGATGGAGAACTCCCAGGAGGACGGTCCAAATTCCAACATTCATATGTCTATAATTTCGTGAGAATTCTTGGCAAATTTACATAACTTCATGCTGACTTCCGTCATTATCTTTGGCGATTCAGAGAACAATGGCAAAGCCTTCTTGACAGTACCCGCTCTGTAAATTAAATTTACGACATAAAGATTATGCAACATCTGTCAAGCTTCACTTTTACTATCTGTTTATTTCTTTAAACGTGGACTAATAATAGCCGGAAAGAGAAATGGGCTGTTTAAGTACCCACATAAAACTCTCGCAAAGAATGAATAATTTTAAGCCATCTACTTGATAATTTTAAGCTTGGTAATGTACTTGGTTATTCTTAATTCACAAAAAAAAAAAAAAAAAAAAAAAAAAAAAAAAAAAAAAAACAAAGAAAATCTGGGTCTACTGCACTAACTGATACATGAAGGAAAGTTTTCTCAGTATTCGGTACAGATCCAGCTTAAAATTTTTAGAAATTCAATATTGCCTTAAGCCAGTTTTGAAGAAAATAAGTTCCCAGATCAAGATTCAATTAACTACTTAGTTTTTTATCTTCAGATAAAGCATCAGACATAAATAAGGAGTTTTTAGTGGTGGATTTTTCTTCTGTCATAACTGCATGAGATGATAACTCGAATTACCCAGTACGTGAAACCGAAGTTCTTTAGTTATTCCTTCGTTTAGCTGCTCTCTTAACATTTCATTTATGTGCTAGAATAATACCAGAGAGTTTTTTAAATTATTTCCAAGCCTAATGAGTTGTAACAGAACTATTTAAGTGTAATTGAACTATTTTATTCAACGCCGTGAACTCATGAACTGTAACCGAACTATTTTATTTAAACGCGATCTCGTGGCGATATGAAAAACCGTCAGTCGACCTCCAGCCGCCATGATGATAGTTTACTATGTTATGTTATTCAACTGTTTGATGTTCCATTTGGTATATGTTTCATTTTTATGTATATTTCTTTGTTTGTAACCGTTCCTGTGTGCTCTGTTAATAAATCCTTTTAAAGCTAGCCAGGCATAAGTGTCTATTGAAGGAACGGCTACATCACATTGGCGCCCAACTAAACTTGAATCTAAAATGGCGCAACAAAATGTTTAGAATTTCTGTTTGGCTTTAACAAAGCCCTTACTCCCAAATTGAACTTTTAGTTGCTGGAGATCGGCTCAAGTCAATCTTTATCAGGATGTGGACTGCTGGTCAAAATATTCTGGAAACCAATTCTGAATTAAAATTGTTATGCCGTGCTACTAGCACATCGAATCATCCACTGGACACCTTCAACGGAAAAGATAAGTTTCGTTTGAGTAAAAATCCTTTCCTTATTTCAATATAATGGATATTGAACCTTGTAGGAAGAACAAAGCTAAATTTTCCGAATGAACAAAATATTTTTTATTTGAATTTTTAAACAGAACCAAAAAGTAAATACTGCAGCTCTTAACTATCAAAATTTTAAACTCTTAACTACTTCAGTTCAAAACTCTTACAACTATTAAAAAATACTCAAAATCTTAAACTCTCTAAACAAAATATATAAAAACCTTCCGAATCCTCCTCTTGTTGCCACACCGTAAAATGCAAGTTCTTGTCCTATTATTTATATTTCACGTTCTCTTTAAGTCACGATCTTTACAAGTCATGATCTTTACAAGTCACGGTCTCTACAAGTCATGATCTTTACAAGTCATGATCTTTACAGTTTGCATTATCGTTTAATCTGAGTTTAAAGTTCTTTTAAACTGATTATTTATTATAAGCTGCTTCTTAAAGCAAATGTAAATTCTTTACTGAAATCTGATTTCTTGATACTACATAAGAGTATTACACGAAAGCAAACGGTTTTCAGCACGGCTTTAGTATAGCCCACCTGGAATTTTAAACAAAAAAAAATATCACCAAGAGCGGCGATAAATGATATGATCTGGTAACCCATGCTATTCGCCAAACGCAATGTAAACAAGAGGATATTATTACGGTTACAGCTAATTTAGTAGTCAGTTACATTTATTCAATTTCAATACAAATTACCGACATATCCGTTTACTCAAAGTTTAATGCACGTGCCCTGTATTCTTACTTTTCCGGTTAGATTTCTCTTAAAATTTGTCTCACGCTGCGTTGCAGGAGGAAATACAACATTTTAAATTAGAATTTTACTATAATTAATATCTAAATACACAATTCGTAACACTTTTATTGGCGATTGTTTAACGCTCAGATACCGTGAATACTATTTTGTATATATATTTTTGGCTACTTGAGGTGATATTTTTGCGTTTAGTTATTGCTTGCTCTAAAACTGCTGTTAGTGATGTTGTAATTAAATATCAGGAGATTATAAAGGAAAATTTAAAGTGGGAGTTTTGAAACAAGCGTAAAATTTTGGGAACAGATATTTATGTATGAATTAACAATAGAGTATGAACTTTCAGAGGATTTTTGATGGATTGTCGATTATTGAAGGATAACGTTTTGCTGTGAAAAATGTAAGATACCATGCTGGTTAGTTAGTCAGAAAAAAGTCATCGAATGGTAGTATTTGCAAGAAATGTACGGCTGAGAAATCAATTAGGCTAGGATCTTGGTTCGCCTGTAGTAAGCTCAATTTTTCTAGAGACATTTTTTTTTTTCATTTTTTTTTTACAACGCGAATGAAGTGGAGTTGCTTATGCGCGAGTTTCTGCAATTCTTCGATTTCTTTTAAGTGAAAGCAGAGTTCTTAGTATATAAGCAATGCAGAGTTTTTTATTCAATTGTCTGATTTTTAAGTGAAAAGAGATCGCTATGCATACATGGGCAAAACCAATGCAGTGCGCAATGCTGAGGTTGTGCGCGGTGCCTAGTTTGTGCAATTCTCGGATGTTTTTTTAAGTGAAAATAGATCGATGTATGCACATGGGCAGAGCCAATGTAGTGCGCAAATGCCGAGGTTGTGCTCGATGCCTGAGTTTGTGTTATTCTCTGATGTTTTTTTTAAGTGAAAATAGATCGGATGTGTACATGGGCAGAGCACTACAGACCAGGCTTTCCGGCCTCAGGTATAACCAATCGGAATAGTGCCTGACCTGTAGAAATTATCTACTATCTACTTTCCGCCACTGCCAGGGCGAGCCCCGCAAACCAGCGGCATTATTGAGTCTAAGTCAGAAGTTACCGATTCACAGTAATGGTTGTTACAATGGCATCTTTGGCAGACATTGTCTGCTACATGAAAAAGATGTAGGTGCTGTACTGAGCTGAGTATTATTCTTACGCGCGTGTAATTACAATTGCTCTGATTGTGTAATGTTTCCATCGGCAGTAATGGGTTAAGAGCACTGCATGAAATTTAGTACATTTGAGTTAGTAAGGTGTCCGGACCAAAGAATCTCCTTGCAGATTCTTTGTCCGGACTTCACTACAAATAATTATTGGTGAACTTGGCTTAATATATGCTGCGTATCTGTCCGTGTCACATAATAAAGACATACTGTACATACATATACATACATATACATATACATAGGAAGATACATACATAGCATGAAGATTATACATAGCACTAAAAATTTACACATAGCACTAAAAAAATATACATAGCATCAAACATTATTACTGTTTTGCTCAATGAACTTAGTACGATGAACAAGTTATATAACTTACTATCTGCACAAATATTGTACTCATTAGTAGCTGTGCACACAGAATATTATAAACATTAAATAGGTCCTAGCAGCTACACGTTATTTACATATTACATAATATATGCGTTTCATAATATGCGCTTACATAATATATAGGATTATAAGATAAATAATTAAATACTCGAATGCAGAACATTGCAAATTTGAATAGGTAAGTAAATGAATGATACTGAGATACATTAATAACGATTAATAGTGAGTAACTAAAGAATAGTATTTAATACTAAAGCTCATAAGTGCATAACAAAGTTCGCAAATAGTACTATAAGTTTCAAAATTTCTTAATTTAATGCAAAACATACAGCTGTGTTTCAGGAATTTTGTGCAGAAAATCGAAATGATGCAACTATCTTATAACTATTAATACTAAGTAAGCGCATGATAAATTCTAGATTAGATATGCTTGCTTAGTAGGTTACACGATTTGCAATAAGGCATAATTACATAGCAGTAAAA